ACTGTCGCCTTCAAGATGATCCTTCCCCAAAAACAATTGAAATGATCGAACGAGAATACCGTAATCATTCACCCATTTGGTGGTACACAGGTCCATATTTTATCTATTCAATGCTCAATTGTGGTCTTCGAAAAATGGACGTCGACATTATTCTCAAAATGGGTTTTTTCATCCGGCATCTGCACAACCATATTACACAATTACATCGCGAACAACAAGGCAGCATGCCGACAAAATTTCAAGTCTTTCGTGGACAAGGTTTGTCCATTGAAGACTTTGAGAAAATGAAAAAAACCAAAGGAGGACTTATGTCCTTTAATAATTTCTTATCAACAAGTCGCAATCGCACGGTCTCATTGGACAATTTCGCACGGCCAGCTACAAAGAATCCCACTTCAGTCGGTATCCTCTTTGTTATGGCCATCGACACGGCGATTTGCATCAAATCATCAACACCATTTGCTGAAGTGAGCAAAGTAGGCTACTACAAAAATGAAGAGGAAGAGATACTCTTTTCAACACATACAATCTTTCGCATCGATCGCATCGAAAGAATAGAAGACAAACACACAGATCGCTTATGGCAGGTCAATCTCACCCTTGCAGGTAATCAAGATGTTGATTTTAACAAACTCACGGCACACATACGCGAAGAGGTCAACTTAAAAGCACCAACACGAGGAGTGCCTCAACTAGCCTTCATACTTCTTAAACTGGGCGAGCCTGCAAAAGCTAAAAAACTCTACAACATACTCCTCCCAAAGGCCTCTTCCGATATCGATCGAGCAGATTACAATCATAAACTTGGCTGGGCGTATGATAACATGGGCGAGTACTCGAAAGCACTTTCATCGTATGAACGATCACTTGAAATCACTAAAATAGCTCTCCCTCCAAATCATCCCGACTTGGCTTCTTCCTACAACAACATCGGTGTGGTGTATAAAGAGATGGGCGAGTACTCGAAAGCACTTTCATCGTATGAACGATCACTTGAAATCCGGAAAATAGCTCTCCCTCCAAATCATCCCGATTTGGCTAGTTCCTACCTCAACATCGGTTCGGTGTATAATAACATGGGCAAGTACTCGAAAGCACTTTCATCGTATGAACGATCACTTGAAATCCGAAAAATAGCTCTCCCTCCAAATCATCCCGACTTGGCTGGTTCCTACCTCAACATTGGTTCGGTGTATTATAACATGGGCGAATACTCGAAAGCACTTTCATCGTATGAACGATCACTTGAAATCAAGAAAATAGCTCTCCCTCCAAATCATCCCGACTTGGCTTATTCTTATAACGGCATCGGTTTGGTGTATAATAACATGGGCGAATACTCGAAAGCACTTTCATATTACGAAAAAGTTCAAGAAATCTGGAAAAAATCACTGCCTTCAACACATCCACATATTGCACACGTGAAAAGGAACATTGAAGATGTAAAAAAGAAAATGTAATTTTTTTTTATCTTGAAAAGAGAAAATAAATTGCCCTTTTCTTGAAAGCCCGCCGAAGTGAAGCAGCTGCAACAAATTTCGCGCACGCGCGACCAGGGATATCCTCCGTATTCCATTGGCTCGTACAGTGGACAAAGGCGGCAATGGTTAGGCAAACATACACCTATGTATGTATGACAAGTACATCCATGATCATCGCCTTTGAAAAGACGATGATGAGATGAATGCTTCTAGTCATACATACATAGATGTATGTTACGAAGGCCTACCATCTGCACGCCTGCACGGGTCACCAACAGAACGTCGGATATCCCTGAGAAGGTTCAATTATTTTAGAGCCACCCTCAAAAGCTCCGTTAGTTTTAAATTTTTTTTTTATTCTTCTGTTATGAAGAACGAGAAGAAGAAGAAGAAACGGAAAGACGCGACGAAAGACGACGTCAACGAAACTATAATACGCAGTGCACGATAACAACCGGTGTTTTGATGAGCACTGTGATATTGAGTGCACGATATGTTTATCGTCTTTACACATTTTGTTTCTGTTTTTTATTGTGAATGTGTAAGAACAACTGATATGTCGTGCACTCGACATCATGTCAAACAAGCGATGATTGAAGTGAATGACAGAACGAAAAAAAAAATACGAATTTTAAACATATTATTTTAAATATGTGTGTTAGAAAAAATTAAACCTAGATTTTGAAAATTTGAATTTTCAGACGCAATTGAACTTGATTGCATTAGCGATTTATGATACAGTTTTTAGAATATTTTTCTTTTTTATTAAAGGTAATAATAATAAAAGTTAAATATCCATTGTTTTTATCAATAATTATCAGCCGTGCAGAATCTACCGGTGTGCGTCGACGGCCGTCGGGGGAAATTTTCGAAATTAATCTCAGTTTATTTATGCAAACATTGATTAGATCTTCTATTGGTCTATTTTCTTTTCTTCTGATTAAACTTCTGAAAATGCCATACGCGTCTTTATTGTAGTATCAGTGTATTGTCAACCTTTGTTTACGTTCATCATGCATATAACTATCTCCTTCATCCTGTCTCTTTGTGCCTATTCATAATGCAATACACATTACTTGTTTTCTTTTTTTCTATACATTTCCTGACAGAATTTCATCACTTATCGTTTTTGTCTATTGCTACATACAGTTGCTATTGCGTGTGTTAACGAAAAATCCGTTGCCACTCCGGGACAATAAAAGTGTGATTTATAGTTCATATCAATGTAAGTGAATACCAACTAATACAGTT